CCTGTCATGATGGTGACATTCCCAGCACCTGTACCCTTCGCCTCTTCCTCCATGGCCCGTGGTTTAGGGATGTCTACTGAAGCAGTAAATTTTTCTTGCTGGATTGCAGGAAGCAACAGGTAGAGGACAAAAGTGACAAGGATTCCTAGGACCAGCAGCGCCAGCCTGTTGCGGATCAAAGTCATAGTCATCTTTTCTGAAAGGATTTGAAAGAAAAAGAAAGATCCACTAGGATCAGAGAGCTTGCTATGGCAAGGTAATGAACTAACAAATAGCATGCACCACAAAACTGCAGGATAACTGCTGTAGTGTATAAGAACATGGGAAATCAAGTGACTTGACATGTTTTCTTTCCTCCTCAACCATTATGCCTTTTTTGAGGAGGGAGGGAAATAATTATGGCTTTATTTGATACAAGAAATCAAGTTTATGGTTGAGTGATTAGGATAATCATATATCAAGTCCATCTTGCTTAGTGTTAGCTGTGTTAACTTGTCCTTGCACCAGGGCTTAAATCTTTCCATCTCCGTTGTAGCCACTGAAGTTGGAGATGGTGGGTAGCACTGCACAGTATGAACTAGGGCTAAGAACGGAAACTATTTGTATGCCTCAATAACGCTATCATATTGAATTGCTAATTAAGATTCAAATTTCTTTTTTAAGCAATACCAACGTAACCAGCTTTGGAAAAATATAGGCAATCACCAGGGCTGCTGTGATGTAAAAGTTAAGAATGTTGGAATATGATTGGAGAAAGTCAAATTAAAATCCACACTCAAAGCATTAAAATTACTTGGTGAGTCTGATCAGCAACCAAGGGCTACTACAACGATCAAACTGCATGCAGAATTACAGAACTAAGTACATAATTTTAAAGATGGAGAAAGTAGAGGGTATATACAAACTATAAATTAGAACCAGTTTGGTACAGAGGTTAAGGTCATGGCCTAGAAACCAGGGAACTGTGATCTCTAGTCTGATCTTAGAGAGGAAAACCGGCTGGGTAACTTTGGGCCAGTTACTTTCTCTCAGCCGAACTCACCTGACAGGGTTGCTGTTGTGGGAAAAATAGGTGAAGGAAAGAGTATTGGTGTTTGCTGCCTTGAGTTGTATATGAAAAAGGCAAGATAAAAATAATTTTTCAAAGCCCTCCTGTGTCATTTCATCTATCCCACCTGCCTGTTCTTTTTCCAGGTAATCAATGGCAATAGACAAAATAGCAACAGCACTTAGACTTATATAGCGCTTCATAGGGCTTTAAAGCCTTCTCTAAGTGGTTTACAGTCAGCATTATTGCCCCACAACAATCTGGGTCCTCATTTTACCCACCTCGGAAGGATGGAAGGCTGAGTCAACCTTGAACCAGTGATATTCGAACTACTGGCAGCCATCAGTCAGCAGAAGTAGCCTGCAGTACTGCACTCTAACCACTGCACCACCGCAACTGCCAATATTAGCAAGTAAGGATAATCTATGAATATTTTGGAAGGTATAGGATAGTCCTACCCGCCTTGCATAATGACCTCTAAAGCCCAGAATTTGTATTAGTAGGATCCAAATCATAATCAGAAGGAAGTTGTAGAAACTGTCTCCTTCCCTATAATGGTTGATGTTTTTATCAGCTGGCTGATTAAAAAGAAATGCATTCTACTATTTATTCCCAATACTTACTTTCTGCATATCCATGCCACTGAAAACAATTTTAGTACAAGAATATGAAATACATCTTAAATTTAAGACAGCAACTAACCTCTTCCCATGTCTCTTTTACAGTTTAAGACCTACTCATATTCACAGGAAGGAAGATTCCCGCTTTCTATACTTTCCTTTTTATAAACTACTTATCTGTTAGGCCCCACTGAAGTAAGTACAGGATTAAAATGCATTCTATGTCTCCCATATTGATGCTATACATCAGATCAGGTTTTGCAAAACATTTGCCAGTCTTTTGCTTCTAAACCCTCAGTTTTTGTTGCTCCTCTGAGTTTTTCATTCAATCTTTGTTAATGATATGTCCAACTTGTCAAATTAGGCCTTTATCCAGATTATGTGGTAAAACAAACACAAAAGATAACTAGATTCAGTTCCAAATAGTGGAGTCTATGGCCTTTTCCCATTAAAAACATATATTAAGCTTTTTTACTAACAGAGCAAATTTCACTTTCAAAAGTGATAGGAAAACTGTAGAATACCCCACCCAGCATATATTGTAGATATCCGTGCAAAAGTGCTTACAAAGGAACAGCTATTTCTGTGCCTTTCAGGAAAATAATTCAGTTTCCAATATGTGAGGCTGTTTTGGTTATTTAGATAGCTCACCTTCTAGCTGACCTCACAATAATTGGGGTTTTGTATGCAAATATTTCAGAAGTCATCATCTTGATGCATAGTAGATTTAAAATAGCACCAAGTGATTCTCCCACCCTTTCAGAATCAGCCAAGACAGATGTAAACAGCAATCAGACTAATTATTAATAACATCCAGACCTCACTACAATTGGTGAGAGGAATTGTTTTCCAGATCCCCTAAACATACTGATCTACATCTCTACAAAAGTTGAATACGGAGCTTTGTGACTTCATCACTTGCGAAAGATGAATTTGCCAAATTCCACAAGTGAGGTTGCCATTAGAAAAATGGACACAACTCTCTCTGAAAGCAACGCCAGCAGGACCCTATAAAAACAATTGGGTACTAAATGGTGAAAAATATACTGCACAAATGGTCATATATATTTGGAGAGATTATTAGTAGTGAGGAAAATTTATTTTTTTAAATCATAGCAAACTAATCGTTTGCTATTATGTGCAAACCTAGTAAATATTTCACAAAATCAATTTTAGGCAAAACCCATTTGCAGGCAAAATTGTGTATGTATGCGAAGAAGAAACGTCAGTCCATTATTTTCTAGCACTATAGGACTATTGTGCTAAAGAGTTCTGTACGCTTGAAAATACAGTAATGCAAACAAATCTCTTGCTAGCATAATGCCATTTAAAAATCTTTTATAAATAGGGTAGAAGTTAGGTACTCAATGAAAAAACACCCTCTTGTAAATGATATAATTTTCTAGTTGATTACAAGGGTTTGAAGCACCCTTTTCACTTCTGTATCAATAGCAGAATCTTGCAAATGGGTATAAATATACCTCTCAACCTTACGCTTACTAGTGAGAGATAAAAGAATCACCAAGGAAACAAACACGAAAGGAACCAAAACACCCCTATTTCATTAAACAGACTCAGGTAAAGACCCTAAGTCATATATTTGTATTTATCTATTCAGACATATGCAATGAGTCATGAGGAAGATGAAGATTACAAGTGAAGATTACAAGATTACAAGTCTTCCCCGGTGTCTCAGGATGTCACTGTCTGAAGTGAAGGCTTGGTTTGCATGCCTGCGTATCATAGCACACTTAAACTAGATTTCATTCCACTGAATCTGTTACAACCGGTATTCATTATCCTTACTTCAAAATAAGAGTTAAAGAATTCTAATCTTGGTCAACACTATACCCAAAAGGAGCAAAGCTTTCTTCTCAAAGTCTGTACTATTTTTTTCTCCATTTACCAACTACCTTTTTGGATTTCATCCAGTAGATGAACTGCAGACTGAATGTCCTTGAAGATGTAGGTTTTCCCCTGGTACAGAACCTTTAACTTTGCAGGGTACAATACGTAGGCCTGAACTCCTTCCTTTAGGAACTGTTGCTTGAGAGCCACAAAACGTTTACGTCGGGCATATGTCAGTGGGCTGAGATCAGGAAAGAAGGAAACCTTGTGTCCATGGAAGTTTTTTGTACAGGATGTCTTCAGTATTTTCTCCCGATGCCGCAAATCAGAAAGAGTGATTAGTACAGTACTACCATTACCCACCTGG